ACTATCAATGTCCTCAGCGGCATGATAAAGCCGAGGAGCGGGGTGGGGCTGGCGGCTCAGAAGTGCATCGTCACCATCACTTGCCAGGACGTGACCATATTCAATCGAGAGGTGCCCGCGGAGATGCCCGTGATAAGGAGGAGTATGGGAATCTGTCCGCAAAATAATGTCTTGTGGGACGACTTGACAGTGTCGGAGCATTTCGAGTTGTTTGCCAATATACGCGGTTTGTCCACTGACGCGTACGCTGTGGAGTTTGCGGCTGAGATTGAACTGGGGCATAAGTTAGAAGCACGAGTGAAGACGCTATCTGGTAGGCTATGGGAACTTCTATAATGTCACTAACTTTCTAACTTCAACATTTACTATTAGAGATAGTGAATATAACGCGATGCTAATAGGTAGAAATATAACGTCGCTGACTTTTCTTACATTAATATTTACTATTAGAGATAGTGAATACAACGCGATGCAAATCGATAGAAATATAACGTCGATGACTGTCCTTACATTAATATTTACTGTTAATGAAAGTTAATATAACGCGATATAAATAGGTAGAAATACAACGTTTTTGTATTCAGGAGGTATGAAGAGGAAGCTCTCGGTCGGGTTAGCATTCGTAGGAGACTCGAAGTTGATCATATTGGACGAGCCGAGCAGTGGTATGGACCCGAGTGCCCGGCGTAGGATGTGGGACTTCCTGAGATCGAAACGTGAGGGAAGGATTATTTGCATTACTACACACTACATGGACGAGGCCGATGTGCTAGCTGATCGAGTTGGTATAATGAAAAATGGCAAGTTGATGGCTTATGGCAGCACCAGCTTCCTCAAGCGACAGTTCGGTGAGTAGACACGGTCGCTCATTGTAGTCATATATGCACCTCAGTACAGTATTGGAATATATGTTCGCTTTCTTCAGCTGAGCTCAGGAGTTTCCTTACAAATTATAGGAGTTTACATATGAAATCGGGTAGGAGTGTTCAGAAACCAACATGTTTTCCCTCAGAAGTTTACTATGACCAACGTATGTAGTTGACCTTGTGCATATTTTCCCACATTGCATAATGTGTTCATATATGCATACAGTGTTCGCCAATTTGATATCCAATTTGAAAAATGAGCGTTTCCCGAGATTGATGATAATTACTCTAACACTTCGCACATACAATGTGACCATTGCTACGAACATGCACTGTGAGAAACGTAATCGTTTGAAAGTGTGATATAGAAAAATTATCCTTTATGTCATCTCGCGCTCGCCCAGGTGTCCCGAATTTGATAAGCATCTTTTTTATCTCACATTACCATTAATCGTGAATCAAATTGGCACTCACTGTATTGTGTTCATTCTCCAACCTAGGCACGGGTTATACCCTCAGCATTGCCAAGAAGGACTCTACGGTCCCCGATGCCCCTCTGATTGAAGTCGTTCGGGAGAGCATCGACGATCCGTCCTCGGTCCGGATACGGTCCAGTGCTGGTCAGGAGCTGGCTCTGCAGGTATCTGCAAATGTCTGGAAATATCTTACCGTAATTCTCTCAGATTCCTTTTGAGAATGCTCCTCAGCTGCCGTCTGTGTTTGAAAGCCTTGATGTGTTAAAGTCAGAAGGAAAAGTATCGTCCTACGGCATCTCGGTGACCACGATGGAGGACGTCTTCCTTAATGTGAGCTCCCGAGAGGCGTTTGATGACGATTTTTCCCATTTCAGGTTGCGCGCCGTTCTCAAGGTGATGATGACGAGCAGTTGTCCAAGCTGAAGAGCCGAACGTATTCGAGTGAGGACAGGAGCGTCATGTGCGACGTTGTGCTGAAGCCCAACATGATGCAACAGTTCTCCGGTCTGCTCACGAGGCGTGTAACGTACGCCTGGCGAAACTGGCCCGGGACTCTGTCGGCCGTACTTATCCCATTTCTGGTCATACTTGTTCTTATGGGTTTGCAATACCTTGGTGTGTCCGTGCCCGATGCTCGCAGATTGGATCTGAGCTGGAGTGAAGATACACCCTACCAGGTCTCCTCACATGATCATGTTGTCGGTCGGTGGGATCTGAGCGCTCCAGAGGTGGTCACTGTGCAAAGAGGCGCGGTTGGCTTGCCAGATATTAGTGCGGCTACACCCCTCACACCGGTGGAGTTCTACATTTGCAATCAGTGGAAGCCGTATGAGATGATACCTACTCCGAGCTCGTCGTTTAACATCAACTTGTGTGCGGCAATCCTGCGGTTTTCGGCTACACTTATTGATGAGAAAACTGCATGGTTTGAAGTCACTGCATTGGGGGTCACCTCGCGCTCTGTCTTCGCTGATATGACCGCCCTGCATATGACGCCGGTTGCCCTGGTTGGTGATGAATCTGTTGGTGTAGTCAACTACCCCTTCCCTCACACGGCGTATCAGGAGAGCAAGTCCCGAAGTAATCTCGTGCTCACTCTGGCAGTTGGCGGTTACTTTGCCATTGCTCTCACTGTGATAGCAGGATCTTTGCTGTCATATGTTATGATGGAGAAGACGAGAGGGATCAAAGAACAGCTCTACGTTAGTGGCTGTGGTTTGCTGACCTATTGGGTGGCGAGCTGGAGTTTTGATTTTCTCCTCACTTTTATCGCAATATGCCCAACGTGGATACCCCTAACTATTTTCGACATTAAGGCGTACCTCGACTCCAGCAATATGGCCGCGGTATGGATGCTGCTTATTGGATTCTGTTTTGCGATGCCCCCATTTAACTATGTCATGTCCCTGCTCTCACGTACCAATACTATCGCTACTTACATGCAGGTGGGGGCCGGCGTAGGGGGTGGCCTTATTGGCTCTTTTGTCGTAGCTGTTTTGTACTATGGTGTTGTTGCTCCCGAGATCGCCTTGGTTCTCGCGTGGATGCTCAGAGTTGTTCCCACCTTCCCGGTGGCGCAAGGCCTCACGACACTCTTCTTTGCGTATGTGGGGTACTTGAATGCTCCTACGGGTGGACCTGTTGAGACCCACGCCTTCGACTCGCAAATGCTGAACACGTGCAGTGAAGTTCGCCTCAGCGGCCTCGCCGATAAAGTATATGATACTTGTTTTGGAGTTGCTGGTGATGATGTGATAATGCTCTTCCTCTTTGGAGTGATATATTTCGGTCTCACCATCTTGATCGACTATAGGAAGAACGATGATAAGTGGAACCCCGACCGACAGCTGCATGTACCTCCGGAGAAGCGTGGTGAGGAGGATGGGAGGGTCGTAGCAGAGAAGGACAGGGTGGCCAAGCTCGATCCCACCACGCAGATGATCTACTTTAAGGACCTCAAGAAAGTCTACAACCCGGGGAAGAAGAGTGAAGTAAGTTTCTCGAGTCGAGGATGTTATTAAAATGGAGTAGGTATGGGCAGTTCGAGGTATCAACTACGCCTTGGGTGATGGTGGAGTCTTCGGTCTGCTCGGTGTCAACGGTGCTGGCAAGACTACGACATTCAGGATGCTATGTGGGTTGATAAGACCAAGTTGTGGTCACATCACACTGCTCGGTCAACCACTGCTCGGAAACGTCTATGAGGTAGCGAGCAGTGAAGCTATTGTATCGACCTACTTTTTTCATAGGTTCGTCGAAGCATTGGGTATTGCCCTCAGGACAGCCCCTTATTGTAAGGACTTACCACTGAGGAGCATCTCATTTTGTAACTCCATTGGAGTGCATTTGATCACAGTTGTTTCCCTGTCGGAGGTATGGTCGAATCCGTGGAGTATTGCCCGCTGTATTGGAGGACCATGTTTCGGAGTTGTTGGAAATTCTCCAGCTCGAGTGAGGGTCTTCATTCTGAAGTGGAGCCCGATGGATAGTTGGTGTTTTTGTCTTGTAGGCGTTATAGTGACAAGATGGCAACAAGGCTTTCTGGTGGTAACCAGCGGAAGCTCTGTGTTGGCATCGCTCTGGTTGGGCAACCTTCCTTGCTATTCCTCGACGAGCCGACCACGGGTGTTGATCCTGATGCACGGAGGTAAGCACTTTCACGGTCTCAGTGATAGTAGTCTTTGTCGTTCCATTTACAGACGTATCTGGGATGTCATTCACAAGATAGCTCACGGGCGAGCGAAATCTTCAGCAGTTGTGCTCACAACGCATAGTATGGAAGAGGCTGATGCTCTGTGTGAAACTATGGTCATCCAAGTAAGTACTGCCTCCCGCTCGTGGTGAGATTTTGATCAGGTCGACGGCCAGTTCCGTTGTATTGGTTCATCCCAGCAGATCAAGACGGATTACGGTCAGGGCTTCAAATTGTGGATATCCTTCGTGGAGTCATCAGCTGCTACTGCGAGTAGTGAGCTCCTCAACAATTTCTTTGTCGCCATAAATAGTGACAAGTCTGGGCGAGTACACCCCTCCACATATTCTTAGCATAACCGGTTTTTCGACTCGTGCACAGCCACCACAACGAGTATCATCTTGCGGCTCAGGGAGGTATGTACTAATGCTTTACCTGATATGACCTCCAAGTTTCAGGGCCTAACTCTTCGTAGTTAGTGAGAAGTCGAAGACCGGTAAAACGTTTTCTCCACATATTCTTAGCATACACGTGTTAAAATTGCGCCTCAAAATACCAACTTTTACTCGGGGAGTATATCTATAACTCCGCTCCTGATCTAATGCTATACATCAACAGAAAGAGAATCGTTCATAATGATATCCCTCCACGTTTCACTCTCATATTTGGAGGCATCCAGCCGAAACTGAGCAGGGCACCTGATGAGCACCAAAACGCGCCGAAATAAGGTGTAAAACCCGCCATGCAGGAGCCGTCGGAGGTCAAGACGCA